GTGCGCCAGAGGGCGATAGTGTTTGAGGCGAAACCGCTCTTCAAAGAATGGGGCATCAAAGAAGCTTGCAAGAACAAAGTTTTTCTTAGAGCGTGGTATGCATTGCCCCAGGGGTAATTGGGGGTGCATCAATTATTTTCAGAAATGGCAGCAAATATTGGATAAAGTCGAGTGGCCAGAGATTAGTTTTACTCTTGCTGACAATCTATTTAACACAATCAACCTATTAGGCACTTGTCTGTTGACAAAGCATCACTTTATGATAAAAAAATCAAGATCAAATTTGGAGAATGTACTTTCATGTCAAGAGTTGTACTTTCCTCGAAAAGCACCAGAAAAAATTACACAATGTACTTTAAGTAAAGTACAAATCTTCTAAACCTACTTAAAGTAGTACTTTAAGTAGAGGGTAGGTTAAAACCATAGAGATTGTTAAAACACGCCCCAGTGATATACGCGCAGTGCCCACTGCCGGCCGGCGCAGCAACCGCGCCTTGCAATGTGCGATGACGCAAGGTCCTCTTCGAGCAGCAAATTTAACACAAGCAGTGTTGCCATGCCGCATATCACCCACTGTTTACAAATACGCGGCCCGGGGGGGGGGGGGGGGGGGGGGGGGGGGCAGTTGGTGAAACTAACATGTGGTGCTCAGGAGAGGAAAGAACATTCCGAGTTGGTTGACCTTCTGTACCACTTTCAACCACTACGAACCCACATTGTTTTTGTGTAGAAGCCTTGGCTTGCCATCTCATTAACTTGAAGAGGGATTTATTTCTGGAGGCGGTGAAGAAATGAACCTCGAGCAAAATTTTCCAAGAATCTTTCTTTCATTTATTGTTTCGATATTGGGAAAAAAAGAAAAAAAACGTAAAACAAACCATTTAACACCTTGCAACACCAGACTGCTGGAGCTTTTTGCATGTTAATTTTTAAAAAAAACTGAAACTGAGAGAGGAAAAATTATTGCGTATTTCGCACGCTCTGTGATAGGAAAAACAGTCTACAAGTCAAGCTGTTTACATACATCACCCGACCACTTCATACTCCTAGTTTACTCGCTCAAGTGTGGTGGAAAAGGTGAGGAGGAAGTTTGAGACAGTCCACAGCTGACTATGTTTAACAATTTACAGGCTGTTTCATACTTTTATGAAGTGCCCATGTTGGGTGACAATTAGCAATAACAGCATAAGTGTTGCTATAGGAAGCCCCCTTACGTATACCTAGTAACTGATAATTCTCAAAATTCAAATGGTGACTTCTATATTTTTCTTAATGTCACCATGCATCAAATAAGTCATTTTTGGGTATCTTTAAGTAGTGGGAATAAGTAAAAATAAAATTTATTGAATAATCGCTACATGATATGAATCTCATTCACCGGCAGGAAAAAGAAATCATATAGAAGACACATCTCTACAGGCTTTTCTCAAGCACTATTGAGTCGTAAAAAAAAAAAAATTGTATAAACAAGCAATGAAAATAGTGCAGTTAAACTTCGCAAAGGTGCCTTTAGGCGATGCATTAATCACACTCAAGTTTTGTGAGCAGGTTTATAGGAAAAATGCAGGAAAAGAAAGACATCTTCTTTTATATGCACGGTGAGAAAAGAGGAAACAAACCGTCTGGTTGACATTGCTACTTACAGCTGGTACTATGCACACTCACATCTGCTTTCGGGTGTTTGAAAAAAAAACTCCCCATCTTCTGTTTGGTACCATGGAGATGGTTTGCCTTCGTTTTTCTCCTAACCGTGCGCAAAAACTTACAAGTTTTTCAAACTTATGAGTTTTTTTTTTTTGCCAATTGTCACAGGAACCTGCACTCATAAAATGTATGATAAATGCACCACTAACACACCTTCATGAAAAGTTTTAGTTTTAATTTCACTGCATTCAGTGGCGTATTTATATGCATTTTTACACCTGAATACTGCTCGAGAACACCCTGCTAGGATATCCTTTGGGTGTCTCGGGGGTAAGTAAGGCACGTCCTGAGTACATTGTGAGTTCATCCCCTAAACGTTTCGTGGATATCCACAACTGTTCAGATGGCACATCTCTAAAATCTCCCTTGGATGTGTCACGGTATACGAGACATATTCTGTGGACATTGTAAGTTCATCCTCAATGTTTTGTGGACGTCCAGCCCAAGGGAATGTGGAACGCAAGTTTGTCTACTTCTTGAGCAAGGGTTGTGGTGATGTCCGAATGCTAAGCTGACTGGCTCCAATTAAAAGGTTGAGTCTCAAAGGTGAACGGCAATAGTAGAGGCGACAGACTCGAAATACCTTGTAATCACATTTCTTCACTGGTTCATGTTCGAGGGTAATCTGAAGCAGCAAGAAAAATACCTTGTGTCCAGGGAGGAAAAAGTACTCGTGCCAAGTAGAATTAGAACACGTCCAGTAGCAGCAGAGACAGTGGGTCAGAGAGAAAAGGTTGAACATGAGAAGTCTGATTTGATCACCAACCAGCGTCTTTCTGTCGACGGGATGACCGACGCCATTCTGCACAACGCCAACTCCAAGCCTCAAGCGCTGGAAGTTGGAGGGGATTGCAATTCCGCCAAAGACAGGAGGCCACTCAAGCATCTGACCTGTGCTTCCTGGGGGACAAAGGCAAGACCCTCATGGTGATGACATCACGGAAGTCCATCCGACTCAAGGAAAGCAGTGCGGAAAAGGAGACGTCAGCGGATAGGGAGGCAGAGCAGGATTTGGATCGTCCTAGTCACCACCCATGGGACTACAACACCAGGCAACTGATTGGACAAGAGAAACCCAAGTCAGGGGTGCTCGGAGAAAGTGTCATGTTTGAGCCGTCCTTCTGGGAAGAAGGAACAGAAGAAGCAGCAGCGCATGGTCTGCGTCCTCGTACCTGCTCGAAACGATTCTGATGAGCAGAGTCACTAGAGGCGCTATGCGTCAAGCCAGAAGCAGAAGTAGTTGAGGCTGGAAAATAGAAAACGCAGATGGACCCATACCAAGGACCCATTCACTGGCGGCGGTTGCAAGACCAAGGGGTCCAGCAGAAACGTGCATGAGCTCAGGCTGGACAACGGTGATCCAATCCAGGGGCTCTCAGGAAGGTCACCCGGTTCCGGCCAGCTTTCCAAGCAGAGAGAGCATGAGAGGAGGCCGCACAAGGTCAGCGTCCTCCGATCTCGCTCGAACACTCCGGATAAAGAACGACACCGTGGGCTCGACGACGGCATATCCAGCTAACGGAAGCTGTCGTCGAGGCCGAAAAAGAAAAAGCACGAAGACATCCACCCAAGGATCCAGCAGGAGCACGAAGGGAAACAGGCTGGACGAAAAAAATATTAAGCAGAGTCACTCGGAACTCGGAAACCCCTCCTTTGCAGAACGACATAGGGTATTCGTCCAAGAGGAAAAGACACCAGAGGAAAAGGCAGCCCAAGATCAGCGTCCCCCGATCTGGTCCCGACATCTCCGGTGAAGTGCACCCCAAGGAGCTATCGACAGACGGCGGCTGCGAAAGCAAGGGACTCAGCAGCTGCATGGAGAAGCCGAGTCTGGGCAAGCAAGAAGATCCGAGGCGCAAGCGTTCCGAGAGATTGTCACGATCATGGCACGGCAAGTCTGATATTGAGAATTGAGACGCCAACATGAGCCGGTCGTCTGCTTAAAGGAGACCTAAAAAGAAAAGGCTGCACGTGGTCAATGCTTCCCAGTCCGACCCGGACTTATCCAATCAACAACGCCACCAGAACCTGAAGAGGTGCAACTCCAGAAAAAGAAAGCTGTCGTCTGGGCTGGGAGATGGAAATCGCAAAGATATTCATCCCAAAAAAGCATCAACCAACAGCGGTTACCAGAGCGAGGAGCACAGCAGCGACAATAGGGAGCCAAAGCTGAACAAGCAAGGAAGTCCGAGGCAGCGGCGCTCGAAGAGGTGGCACTGGCTCTTCCGTTCTGGCCCCTAGACTCAACAGTCTTCTCAAAGCCACAGTCGGAAAGTTCTGACTTGATTTCCGCACTCACCCTCACCTCACACTTGATCTGTGAGGGTGAGTGCACTCATGAGTGAGTTCCACCGAGGTATGGTTCTCGGATGTTGTAAATACTTGTGTACATGTGTACTAAACAGAGTTTATCATGAGACACCCTCCCATCTCCTGATGTTCCTGCCTGGAGTCGTCCTTCAGTTCCTCTCCTGGCCTGGCCGTGCTTGGAGAACATAGTCTCAACACCCTCCATCAGAGCCAATAAGAGTTTGGCGTTCTGACATCAGTGCAACCCCTGCGCAAGAAGCAGACGAACTTGCTTTCCCCACAGACACATCCTGAGGATATCCTCTGGACATAAATGTTTCTTGACATCCCCTGGACAAGTAATATTTTTCTGGGGATATTCTCTGGGCATCCATTATATGTAACGTGGTTGTCTGAGTACTGCACATTGAAGCTCATTGAAGCTCATTGCGCCTGACCATATTTTTTGATGCAATTTGCAGCAATGCAGGGATGCAGGTGCCATTGATGGTGATGCACGACACTTGTGAGGTAAAACCTTTTTAGCCTGAGCTCCAGCCTCCATCGCTAACAAAAGCCTTCTTGTTTGGCAGCTTAAACCCCTAACATATGCTGCAGATGAAGCAATCGACCCTCTAGTCCCCCCCCGTAAAACATCAAGTCTCCTTGATGTTCCTAACGAAAGTTTACCGTAGACAAAATATGTGTCAAGTCCTTTTAAAAGCATTGTGCTTAATTATCTCATGTTCTGAATTGCAATGGAAAAAATTGCCCAAAAATTAGACAAACAAAGCTTTAGACTGAAACAGTCTAAAGCTTTTCTTTCAAACCATTCTGCCTTGCTCTTGCTGTTATCCTTGATTGCAAGCTCCCTCCACAAACCGTCTACTCAGCGCTACGGTGATATCTGTTTCTCATTCAATTTGTGAGTGTGCACATCTTCGTAGCACCCGTAAACCACCTAGGAAAGGCAGTTCTTGGTCGGATGACTAGCATAACTTTCCTACCGTGAAAAAGAAGTTGGAGGCCGTGTTAATGACGGTGGCTTCGAGAGTTGTTGTGCAAAGACGTAGAGCCTTGGTGAAGATCGTCCACATAACAGCGTTGCATGCGATCATCAGGGCAAAGAAAATCACTCGAATCCCAGTGATGACCTGCAACAGGACCAAATAAAATATGTGGATCAGGAAAAACCCTTTAAATGCACGAGGCAACTTTAAAGGGATACTTCAACGAAATTTGAAATATTCCCGTCGTGTTCAAAAATAGGTTGAATATGATCCACAATATCCGTAAATGACAATCGCACGTTCGTATTTTGAGCCTGGTGGTTGTATTTTTCGTTATAAACGGCCCACTCTTGCAAGCCCACAGAGAAGGCCCAGTGGAGACCACGTGACATCCAACGCAATCGTGACGTAGGTCGTCTCAGGACGAGCAAAGCTACGGCGAGGCTGACGTCGAGAGGATGGCCTAGTCGTTCCAGCCACCGAAGCGGATGCTTTTGTACGAATTTTGAGTGACAGGTTAATCTTCCGTAATCTTGTAGGGGGACAATAGCGACTTCTGCGACACACAAAAGGCATTCTCGGGAAGAGGGGAGTTCCTCCTGCCCCTCTTCTCTCGTCGTGGCCGGAGGCGAGACAACCTCCGTCACTAGCTGTCAAGGTTCCTAGACGGGCATTACAAGCGAGGCGTTAGCGACATCCACCAGGTGCACTTTGCTAATCGTTTAATGCATTTTAAAATTCCTTTTCGTGACTTTTTTAACAAGGTATTAGTATGTTCGATGTGATGCTGCTCCTTTGAACACATACAGACCAAAAAAATGAGCGCCGAAATTTCGTTGTAGTATCCCTTTAAGACATGAGGCGTGCACACAAAAGTACGTGGTTCTCCGTGTAATTCGCTGGTAACAGAGCTCAACGGGAGAGGCTCCACGCATCACACCAATCCCACACACTTCGGTCGCCCCCGACTTGTAACCGCGACGCTAGAGCCTTGCAACAAGTACGCGATGAACTAACGCGATAACTGAGCAGAGCCACTTACATTTTCGCAGAAATAATGAGAGGAGATCTTGGAAAGCCAGTGTGAAGAGACGATCTCGCAAAGGTAGGCGGTTTCTCCCCCCGCCATGGAAAACTTGCCGCATAGTGAAGCGAGTGCGGCAAGAAGACCGGAAAGAAGGGAAAATGTCATCCCCTTCATTGTAGACTCGCTAACTGTCAATCATCGCTTCCTCCGTAGAGAAACAGCTGTTGGTAGCGCCGATAAACACAAGGCGCGTTCGATTTCTCGACTCATTAGTTTGTGAGTGGCGCAGTACGATCCAAGCAGATTGTGCAGATCGCGTAGGTAAGTACACCCTGAGCACTCCAACGACCCCAACGGTACACTACACCCCCTGATGTACACCGAACCACTGTGCAGTGTGCACCGCGCTACTAGCACAATCCTCTTGATTACCTTGTATATATGTGCATTCACGCACATATGCTGAATATTATGCTAAAAAAGCGATTTATTTCGCATGGTAAACGCTCGCCACGACCAACTCCTACGACAGCTGCTACCGTAGCTACCGTTGCTACCGGTTGCTACGCTACACACGTGACCCAAACGCCAGTGTCCAGAGTCCAGGCAGATTCGTTCTTGTGACGCAAAAAATTTGCAAAAAAAAAAAAAAAAAAAACAGCAACAAAGAAACAGCCGACCACCCTTTTTGTCCGTCGAATTATTTGAAAGACAAAATTCTACTATAAACAAATATGGGGGGAAAAATAATATAAAATATTTGTAGCATGAGAGTAACAGGGTGACAGTCCTGCGTCGCCAGTGTTGCACGTTGCTAATCAGCGCGCAGAGATAAGCTTTCGGAGATAACGAAAACGAAAACACACCGTCTCCACTGCGCGTTCGCTTGTGTTCGGTAGCTCGTTAGTTCGGTAGCTCGTTTTGACATTAATTCAAGTCGAGCAAACGTCTATTCTGGCAACCCGACCTCGATCCGACCACAAGCACAAGCAGCAACAGACGACGGTTCGCCGCAGCTCCTCCCATTGCTGCTGTAAACAAACACGTTTAGGTCAAATACGCGCCACCATCTCTAAGCGGATGCAGCACTGTCGGAAACTTCACCCTGTCACAACGGAAATAGGATAGCTGTCTTGCACGACTTCGCCAGGACTCCACACACCCAGTTCTCTTTCGGAGTGCGCCTGCCGTGAACGGGTTGCTTGAGCACAGGTAAGTGGCCAACCCGATCAGGCGGCCGTAACTCGACAGGCACTCTTGTTTGAGGGTTTCCGAAAGGTCCGAAAATTGCGCCCGGGGACGTCGTTAATGCAGTCATGCATGAACACTCCCTGAAAGCCCAGCAGGCGGCCCGCCTCTATGACGCAGTCCATATGACGCCGTAGACCGGGAGGCACTCACTTGATCGAATGACGTTTTAGCGAACGCCCACGTTTCATCGAACGACACTTTAGCGAATAGTCGGACGCCGCGAAGCGGCGTTTTCGGGTGGGCCAAGTGAGTTCACATTTTTGTAATGAGTTGCCGCAGACTGTCGCCGCGAAGCGGCGTAAAGCGCAGCGCGACGGATGGGTTAACGCGCGCCCCCGTTATTCGCTAAAACGAGCATTCGCTCAAATGTCGCCGTTCGCTAAAATGTCATTCGCTCTTGTGATATGGACCCCCGTAGACCTGTATGAAGGACGCAATCGGAATAAAGTAGTGATGTGTTTGGCCGCACCAAGTACGCCAAGGTCACCTTTCGACTTCGATTCAGTAGTTAAAATATTGACGCGTCTTACGCGTTAATTGGAAGTCTCACAAACTGATACACGTTACTTTCAGCATTCTCGTGAAATGGATTCCAAGTGCAGATTGCCTGTCTGGGTTAACCTCTTCATCTTGTCTCCAGTGCGGGGTCATATTTATGAAGGTAAGTCGTGCAAGCATTGCTTAGCAAATCCTCACCTAACAAGCAGTATACAATTTCACCAGCATCAGCACATGGTTACATTTTTTTTTTTTTTTGTGTGTGTGTGTGTGATGTTGGCATTTTAGAACAACCAGTCAACATATATGGCTAAATACAAAAAGAAACTTCATTCCCAACTTAGTAGAATGCCGTGTGCTGCTATCGTGGTTTTGGCAGGTCACCTTTCTCGAGGATGAACATCCAGCTTGTACTGGGTATCTTTTCGTTGTGCGCAGTGCTTGCTTGCTGCCATTGTGCAGCCCCGAATGACCGGTGTGCAGTGTTACGAAAAGCATTAAAGGGATACTGAACCAAGGAATTTAGTATCCATAATAAGTGGCACACGTTCTTTCCACGAGCCAGCAGCCGCCAGTGTACGCAAGCACACGCAACAAAAATGACGTCTAGGACCTCCATTCGCAGTTAAGATGACAGTGAAATATATGGGCTTCGGGCCAAAGGAGAATAAAGACAAGTTTTTCATCTACACAGTGGTGTCTGGTGTAAAAGGCAAGCGATTAATTGGTCTAACAAGCACGTAGCTTTCACTTGTAGAGATCAAAAGCCCATCTTCATTCTCCTTTGGCCCGAAGCCCATGCATTTCACTGTCCTCTTAAGCGCGAATGGAGGTCTTCGACGTCGTTTTCGTTTCGTGTGCTCGCGCACACCGGCGGATGCTGGCTCGTGGAAAGAATGTGCGCCACTTATTATGGGCACTAAATTTTTTGGTTCAGTATCCCTTTAAAACGTTGCCAAATAGGCTGGCAGCGAGTGCTACCTGCATCCTCCTGACACAGTATGAAAAGGGCTCGGACGTGCCTACCTCTTCCTAAAAGAGACAGCGTAATATAACTCAGCTAACTTCACTGTGTCATCAGGAGCAAAGCATGTGCTTCTGGAATGCAGGAAACCTGAGCGGCTCCACTCTCTTTATTTCCCCACTTTCCTACAGACCACCTTGGTGGACAGATCTCGCTTCTGGGCCCGCTCGTCTGCTTCGCCATCTTCATCGCCATCTGTGCCTGCTTCTGCCGCGAGTGCAGACGCAGAGAAGCCATGCTCGCCTCCGGCACGACTGTGGCAATGCCTCCGGATCCGTTCCAGCTGTCTCCCCACAGGCCCGGAGCCATGCTGTACGAACCAGCGGTGGCTGGGGTGCATCCTCAGCACCTGCCCTCGCAGCCCATGGCTCCTCCGCCGGGCTTCGTGAGCTACCCTTACAACACCATGCCCCACGATCCACCGCCACCCTACGAGTACAAGTGACTCTGGCATCGCCAAAAACTGGGGGTTGTGAACTGTGCATTCCGACGGGGCTGGCACACAACTGTAGATTGGTGTTCCGTAATGGACAGTATTACTCATTCGAGGCACGCTGCTACAGGCCATAGGTCATTTGTGGTGTTCTCGGAAGAAACGGCTATAAAAGGCTGCTGACGATAGAATGTAACCAGAGAGATCCAGTGTGGTCCTTGCCCACTTTGTTTTGGTGGACAGTTTAGTTTCTGGAGCTGTTGCATGTTTTGCACATGCTTAAGCTGTCTTGATCTGAAAATAAATGGTACAAGTATTCTGGGCCACATTTTTAAGTGCCCTTCAAAATAGACGAGATTGTTATTCTCTAGACAATGACAGACAGTTTACGCCGGTTGTGAAATTAGCTCGGTGCAAAGTGATGGTGAACGCAAGTTTGCGCATGAACTACCTATTGCTGTTTTGAGGCACAGACTTAGCTTTGTATTACTGTGGGCTGGCACAAATACTTTCCAGAGAGCTGCGACACTGCTTTAGCTATACAGCCGTAATTACTCAAGGCGGCTACTCAACCTGGTGCTGGCAGGCCATTATCCGTCCAGTGTCTTTATTGCCTACTGCAGGGATCATATCCGACGAGATTTACAGGTTGTGCTACCCTTGTCGAGCGTTTGTTTATGCACACAATTTTATTCTAATGAACGCATATCCCACTTCCCAGGTTTTAGACTAAAATGTATTGAACGGTGAACTTTACACATTTTGTTTGTGGAGGTAAACATTTTGGTTTTATGGAAAATGTATTTCAGAATGAACTGTACCAAAGCAGTGTATAGTCTGGTGTACAATCATATAAAACAAGTTACCAAGGAAGGGTCCTGTGTATGACACATTGGACTGTATCCTCCACAGATTTGTTTTCTCAAGCCGAACAACCCTCCCCTAAATGATGCGTGTACATGCCAATTAAAGTCCTGGGTGGAGTGGCAAATAAAAAAATGCTATACTTGCGCTTTGTGGATATTGTTGCATGTATACCGAAATTCTCGTTAGCTTTTGGGGTGCACATAATAGTGTTTCAGTTGATGTGCGTGCAAGGTATGAACCAGCCTGTTGCCCTGAATGATGCTTGCACTGCACGAGTGCGCATGCTCGGCAGCGATGTGCCCGGAGCTAAAGGCAGACATACAAGTCCTAAACTGCGATGGGAGCTGGGTTGGGGCAAGTTGAAAGATGGAGAGGATACGGGAAAGGAGGTGAAAACGTGGAAAGCGCAAAGTGTATGTCGGCCTTTGAAGTGAAATCGAGCGTAGCATCAGTTCTCGCATCTGAAATTGCAGGCAATTTTCATCATTATGAAAGGTCTAGTTAATTGTGAATGCTTGCTGGACGAAATGGTGCGCATTTGCTACCGTAGCTGAACTGAAAGGAAAAGGCGCAAACCAAAGCAATTCACGAAGGGGATGTTGCCTGGAAAGAGTGCATTCTTCTGTAGCTAAGACTGTTTACCGAGTGTTCAGAGTTTCCCCAGCTATTGGGCATTTGGCCACATAACCACTACACAGTTATGTGCAGATGGGCTTTTTTCGTTCCTTTTCACTGCTAAAGGCCTTTGGGAAGGACATGCAGTCCTCCTGTTGTCATCCACCATCGCTTGACTGGAAATAAATATTGTCATTATAATGGTAGGTGATAAATTGTCTATACAATTTCCAATTTTAACTGAAAAGCACCAATCAACATCCGGTGATGTCAGAAATACAAAATCGGTCAAAACCGAAAAACATGGATTTCTGGAAATTTTTGTTAAAAGCGACTATTTTCGTCAAACCCCCCTCCTTGAAGTTTATCAAGGATGTAATCTAACTTACATTGAAGCACGCTGCCAGTCCCGAATTACTGAAATTGCAGACGGTGGCATAAGAGTTAGGTCAGTCGGTCAGTCGCCGCAGATGATTACAATGTCTTTGTTCTACTAAACAGTGTTCGAAACTACACTGGTTGTTCTTATCGGTTCAGCCTTGCTAAAGCAGAAAAATCAACTTGCCTTTCTCATGGTACAAAACATTTTGCTTGAGAGCAGATCAATGTTTGTCGTCGCACAGAGCAGAAAGGATGGCAGGTGAAGAGAAGGAATGGTCCAGGTGATTGCGTTAAAGAGCGGTTGGACTCCTTGTCGGGTCAGTTGCAAGTGCTGTCGCACTATGGCGAGTGTGAAGCGTTCGAAGGGTGCATGCAAATTGTAAACTAAATTTCAACTCTTTGTTTTCATCAGTATTTTTGTGTGTCTACCAGGAACTTTTTTTTCACCAATAATCACCATTTTTAGTGCCTGCACAAAACAAATCACCGGAATACACTGACTTGGAAAATAAACACAAAAATACATCCGCAGATTTTCCTTATAAATACAGACCGCAAAATCTAGCTTGGTGATAAATTCTACCGCAGGCAGTTCTTCACCAATCCGAAAGTGGAGTCATGAGAAAACGTACGTAATCTGTTGCTTCACTGCAGGCAAGTATTTAAATTATCTAGCCCCATAGCCAACTAAAAAAAGCTCTTCCATGTTTGATCGAACAGAGTGGCAAGCATATGGTTTGAGAAAGCAGCATTCAAACTTTCTTATCTGCCCCTAATGCCACCAGAATCGGTGTGTTTATTGCGTTAAAAAGTGTGGTATGTGTCCAAGCTTGGTGGGCGGAACGACCATTCACTTGTCTTTCAAGAAAAGCCTGTACAGTTTCTCATCCTCTGGATCTCCAAATTGGGGCACAAAGTTAATCTTCAGGATTTCTGAGAAGCCCTCCGACAGCTCTGGTTCCTTGAACTTGGACCTGCAAGGGCGGGGCAAGCAAAATGAGTGCTGCTAGTTGTTGGACCTCGAAACCATAGAGTTATTACAATAAACGCTAGAGGCTCAGGTGGCGCTAGTGTGCTATTGCATTTTGAAGCAGACGGCAACCAGTCTAAATTTGACTTCCAGTAATGCATTTCTATGGAAAAACGCAAATGTGTTTTCTCTTCGTGCCCGATTATAAGAGCAAATATTGCTTAGTGTTGTGACAGACCAAAAAGTTTGGAATGTTTTACAATCGGATCTACAAAAATATGTGGCCGAGCGTTTTTCTTTAGAATTCATGGCATCGAACACTGCGCTAAAATAGCCCAATGCACATGTATAACACATGTTGACGTTGCAGACTGCTATTATAGGGCACATATTTACGCATATAGTTAATGCCAATATATGCCAAATCAAACAATCAAAACAGATGACAAGAATGAAGCATGGAATTATGGAACTAAGAACACGCTTCAATAAACCCAATGCACTTCTTAATTATTCTTTTTGCTTGAATTGATAGCTTGTATTGACATATTATGCTGTACAACATAGGCCTGGGCCTCAATTTTTGCTACATTAAACATGCATAAAGCTACATAGTACCCATTATGAGTAAAGAAGCTACGCTGATTTCTATTATTTCCTGGTGAAGAGAACAATATTGCGTACGTTTTCCCATTGGAATACACAGGAAGACTGGAAAGGTAGACTGTTTGCTGTCTGCTTCAATTTGCAACCGGAAGTCCCGTAGACACTAGTGCCAGCTGAGCCTCTAGCGTTTATTGTAATAACTCTATGCTAGAAACAACAAAGCATTGGGACCTTCCAGCTGCACCCTGGCCACTAGGACAACTCTCCACACTTTTAACAAAACTCTGTCCGTCTACAGCAGGGGTCTCAAACACGTGGCCCGCAACTTTCTGAGAGACGGCCTGCGAGTGTCCCGTGGGTGCGAGCTCCAGTTCCTAAGCCTCGAGCGCTGCATGCGCCATAAATAATGACTTCTTGTCATCCAATTATTTTCACTAGAAACGTAGCTCTGCTCTTATGATGTTTTAACATATTTGGCACTAATCTGTCTTCTCATATATCGAGGATTGTTTTGTCGTACATACCGTAAAGACACAAGTATTTTCTAATAATTCTGATATAAAAATCGTCAGGAAAGCAAAAACTACCGTATGAAAAGACTTTCCTTCGAGACATATTGATCTCGGATAATAGACCCTTTCCGATATTGTGAAATGATGCATAGATCATGCGTAGCCGCCATTAGTTGGTCTCGTCGCTTCCGGCGTGAAGCCCGCGATTGGTTCCGAGTCCGCGCCAAGCGCCGACGCAGCACTCGTGTGGAATGTGTTTCGATCCAAGTACACGCCGAACGCTGACGAAGCGCTCGTGTCCAATGAGTGCTCGTGGTGCATGACCAACTAATGGCGGCCGCACATAATCTATGCATCATTTCGAAAAGGGTCTATTCCCGAGTGAATTGAGCGAGAGTAACAATTGTGTGCTTTGTTTCTAGTTCTGCTGAAAAATTCCAGCGCGTTGGCAGAATGGTAGTATTTTAAATCTTGTAATCACTAGTATGAACCCCAAAGTAGTTGTATGAAGAAGACAAAGATAAAGACGGGACTGGCAAAATGGCTCTCTTGGTGTCGCTGAAAGACTCGACTGCTTCGCAACACAGAACACTATCTGGCCCCCACTTAGGCTCCTTTGCAGCAGGGAGGGCAACTTTCCGAAATAGGTCTTCCACTCTCAAAAACCACTTTGCCCTCCTTAAGAACATGCTGCGTGCAGAAGAACCCTTTTGAACTTGATGTTTATAATTGTTGCTTTTAACAGCATCCAGTATTTTCTAAATTAATTAAAAAAAAACTAACTTTTTCAAATATGGGTGCCCAAAAAGTCCAAAGGCATTTTTCTCATAAGGTAACACAAATGAGATGGCGATCACTCACCGATGGCTGTACAAAACCATGTCGGTCACAGAAGTGTGAGGCTCACCTTTTAGCTTGATCTCCCTGAACTGAAATGATGAGGCACCAGAAACAGCTCGTCAGTGGGAAATGAAAGACAAACTTTCCTCGCATAACATTAGAGAAAAATGAAGGAGGTCAACCTCATTGTTGTGCTTGGCTCTCTCCAGTGAGCAGTCCATCACGAAGCATCGGCAGTCGCAACCATACTTCCTGGCCAGCTCGGTAAACCTGTACATATTTTAACAACCGCTTAAGAACTCTCGCCTCGGAAGCAAGGTGCACAGCATTCTGTCGGAGGGCCCCGTTTGATTTGGAAACAACAAGACGATTTAAGTCTGCCTGACCTTTTTCGGCTGTCAACGTCGGGGTTGGTGTTGTCGATGACAACGGATCGCTTATGCGCCAGTGCGTTCTCACTTTCACTCACACACTTTTGCCAGGAACCCAGCGTGTCCTTAAAAGAACAAAAAAAGACACAGCTGAGCCACTTGTTCCTTTTTCTGAACAGTTCAGCCAGAATAGAACTGCAAATTAATGAACCAAGCAAGAAAACTTGGAAAGAAGCGCTTACACGGTTGATGTGAACGTATTGTTTGGCTACCAAATACTTCTTGGCAAAGTGAGTCTTGCCGGCTGTGGTAACAGGAAATACAAGTCAGAACTGTCACTCTGCTAGCTTGAATCTATGCCCACTGTGACTGCGGTGCCTGCCATCTATGTTTCACTACTCTAAAATATTAGCCATCTACAAGCACATCAAGCAAAGGGCATGGTTATGTACAATGCTGGTTTTGTCAGATTCAGTTAAAACCAGCTATTTCTATGTCGTTGCCTAAAACTCCCCCAAAGAGCCTTGGTGGGGATCAACAAGGCATGCCTTTGCACACATATTTCTAACAAGGAACTTCACTTACATGCGGGATAGCCGACAAGCACCACCACCTATCAAAAAGGTATAGAAATACAAATATAAGAATCATGTAAGCAGCCTGCTGGAAAACTAAGGAACTGTAGTATAGCAACCATACCTCTGTGCTAGTTCGCAGAAGCTCATCCTCGCCGAAAAACTTCTTGCCATTCGTAGACCTTGTGGCAATGACTTCGGCAAGTGGCAGATCTAAGACAACACGCTATAGTACCGAAGGGCATAAAAACAATCTGCCAGTTGGTATTGATTCATGATGTAACAAAAGTGTGCGAAAAATGAGGACAAAATAGAAACATGCACGATAGACAAGCACTTACTCGCAACTAAGCGTTCATCTGTTGCGCATGTTTTTATTTTGTCCTCGTTTATTAGCAATATGTATCGTATACAATATAATTTTGGATGCATTAAAGGATAAGTATGTTCGATATAGGCAACCTCTTGCAAAACAAAGCAGCATTCCAAAACTATCATTCTAACTCAAGGAATACCTTCAGGTACCATCAACACATTCAGCCTCCACTTGATGCAGTATGTTGCTTAGACAAATAAGATGCTCCCATTTCAGGTTGGAGCCAAAAATTGTGGTACACACCAGGGCCGTAACCAGGGGGGGGGGGGGGGGGGATAGGGGGTTCTGACCCCCCCTGAAATTTTTTTCTGTGTACGGCCCTGGTCGGTGCACTGGCAGCCAGCCGATTTTAATCTCCACCTCTGCGCACGCGCAGTGGCGCCGGTCGGCTACCGGGTACCAATCCGGGACCGGATCTCCGGTTTGCTGTAACTCTCCATTATATGCCACCGATGCACATGATTCATAGGCGAAAATAAGACAATAGACACTTTCAAAATGGCCGCCGTTGTCCCCGAAAACCCCCCCCCCCCCCCCCCGAACTTTTTTTCTGGGTACGGCCCTGGTACACACTACATCAGTATATTGTTTTCTTAAGCAGTTTCGTATCACTTGAAACAACTTTGCTGGACCCCTAGAGGAGCAAGCTAGCAACAATTGATTATTTGTGAGGAAATGATGGCAGATACAGGCAAAGCAATCATGGGAGTAAATGAATTTAAAACATAGCAAACAATAACTGCGTCCCAAAGCATGCAGATTACTCATCTAACGGCAGCATCATACGCACCGGGTCAAAGGCTGGCAGATCAAATTTGACGGCAGGCCGGTTCAGGAAAAATTCCTCTGGGGTGTAGAACTTGAGTCCTACGTTCAAAGCAAACTGAAAAAGTAAGACCAAGTGGGAAGGGCAGTGTAAGTGAAGACAAACTTGCTTTCAATTCATGCAACGTTTCAGCAAAAAGTTCAAATATAGTTTCGTTTAACAGTAATTTTCAAAAATGATCAACATCCGAAGAGGTCCACTGTGTCAACTACGCCAGAGTTTCGGTAGTGGTTTTGAATGGCACTCACCAGTCTATCAGAACACGAAAAGTCCTTCTTGCGTTTGGGCTCCCAATTGGCTGGTCTTCCTGCTGCATCTGAAAGATGCGAAGATCGTTTGCAAACCATACTTCACCTATAGTATGTTGCAACATAAGAAGGTGAAGAGAAGCCTCTCCCACAAAGCCTTCTGCTCACCATAATTGGGGCTTTTCTCCTCTCAACCCACAAATCAGGGGCGGGGGAGCAGGGGAGCAATTACCCCTAGATATTTCAAAAAAATTAATGAAAACAAGAGGGGGGAAGGGGCAAAAAATCACTTTCCTCCTACTCCCCCCCCCCCCCTCCTCTCCCGAATAGTTTCGATGCATCTGAGTCACATCCTCTCTGGCGTTCGCTCAGCTAAAGTAGAAAGAGTGAAGGGCTTTATGCGGGGAGCTTGTTCTGCTATTCTAAGCTTGCAGCGGACTATAAACTCTTTAAGAGAAATATTGGTTTCTTAGGAATACTCTGTAGATCTTGAGTTCTGCACTAAATCAAAAGATAAACACATATTACAAATGTTACAGTGCTACATGAGGCATCAGCAACCTTAATTTCTCTACAACGAAACAGAGGCGTGCGAGTCTTGGAGGTGATATCTTATTCAAAATATATTTTCCATTCATTATTTAACAGCCCTTTTCCAAATTCATGCTTCTTGCACCCCAGTTAAGAATTAATGCAGCCTGTCCTGCTAGCGCAGAACTAAGTGCAAATCCCTGAAGATCAGGATGCTACTAACGAACCGTTTCCACTTTAGCAGAATGAACATTGGAGAGGAGGCGACGTCCTCATCGGCATTCCCTTTGCTTAAGTGGAAAGCGGTGGGAGAAGCTTCCCCTAAACTCTTAACCTGTTGCCGACTATGGTAATGATGCATAAAAATCAGGAATGAACATGCAGTCTCTGAGTAATAAAACACTCTATTCAAGGGTAGCACGGCGCACAATACAAAAATTACCATCCTCTATCCCGTAAGAGCTACTAATTTCAACAAAATTAAGCAGGAGTGCACCGTTGTTGTGCCTGGCAGATATTTTTGAGAATTTTGTTTTTGTTGCACAAACATGTCTATTGACTCAATGAAAAATAACACAACAGTAACAACGAGAAGTAAACTTGAAGACCGGGAAATCCAGACAACACCTTTGGTAGCGACATGTATTTGACGAGTCCACTGGTGTCCAATCCAAACCTTTTTACCACAGTTCGCAAGCAGCTTCAGACACCAGCCAGAATTTGGTTTACAGCTTACCGTAAAATCCCCAAATAGCCCACCTAACATGGAGAGCGAAATTGGGTGAAAATATGGTGTGTACAATCAAGAAAAGTTTTAAAAAATTGTTATTTTTATTTTGTGTCCCTTCCAAGCTTGTTATGGTGGCGAGGGGCAACGAAGCAAAGATGACTGTACTTCCCAGTCAGCAAGGTTCGCTTATATCCCGCCAAAGATAACTAGCTGCATTTACGCCGAGGCCATCATTGATCACAACACTACTATTACTAAGAGTGGGCTATCCTTTGGTGTTTAAAAAAATATAGCAAATCAAGCCAGAAATAGGGGTGGGCTATCTTTCGGGGGTGGGGCATCTCTCGGGATTGTGCGGTACTCGTATTTACTACCAGCCTCATCTTGTAGTCTAAATTGAATTGCTGATCTAGCTTTCTGTTATAACTATATAAATGGATGTTATTCATGTTGTTATTCTTCCTGAGCAACTTGCCAAAAGATCCAACATCCTGGAGACATATTAATAAATACGAGCCACCACCAAATAAAAGCGGATCATGCACATACCTACCCCCTACGTAAAAGGATTCATGAATGTTGATGGGCACATTGCCATTCCCATGCTTCTCAAGATGCTCCCAGACTCCCGGTGCAGGTTTGCGGAAAAACCCGTGTCCAGAGCAGACGTAGACTTGAGCCGGAATGTCCAACCTTTTTAGTATGTGTTCCACTTTACTCTTAAACTCAGATTCATGGCTATGGCTCTTTGCAAGGCCCCTCTGGTTGGTGATGATGACAACTTTGAAGCCATCTGCTAAGAGGCTCTGGAGCTTAGTTTCCACTTGCGGAAGCAGGATCCTGCATGACAAGTGTGCAGGAACTCGGACTGAACACTTCTAGTTAATGCAAGACTTCCTAGACATTGATGAAGTGAAGTTTACTACACTGAAATTTCAAATTTCTAGCGACAGGGTGGCATCAAGAAGAGCATCTGCCACCAAGAGAAATCGCAGGTTGCAACTCCCACAGATGTTTTACCTCCAGTCGTGAGAGTTGACAGGAAACACCTTCCCGGATTTGGTTGTTATCAGAGTGCCATCCATGTCAAAGGCAGCAATCTAAGACAAAAAATGTTTTGAATCCTCGTCAATAACCGGAAAAAAAGCGGAAAAGGGGGGGGGGGGGGGGGGGGGGGGGGTCGTCTTGACTGACTTTAGGTAAAAAAAAAAACTAAAAGTAAAAAAAAAAAAAAACCACAAACTTTTGGTTTGTGCTTGAGTTCTAGGGAGCAGTACAGCAAAACCTTGTGGTCGGAAAGACGTGCCCAGCCGGGTTTGAGGAGCGGGGTCGAAGCATGGGCCGCGGTCGCAGCGGCGCTGCACTGGGCACCTTCGGGGAACGACGCGCTCGCCCTCGAGTTTTTCTGCAACTGTTTTAGTTTTTCGCAGACTTCTCTGACATGCTCGTCTTCCTCGGCGCCGGTCGCGTTGGGGGAAGTGCCACCTGTTGAATCTGTTCGAACGAGTGCTCGGATGAGAGTAAAATCAGGCCTCGACCAACTAGCCGACGCACACAACCAACTGGGCTGGAAACTTACGCTTCTTGGATCGCGGCATCTCTTCGTCTTCGACTTTCCGCTTGACGCTGGCTTTCTTTGGTGCGTCCGCAGTGCCTTCGAAGGTCACAACGTACGTCAAATCGTCGGCGAGCAGGCTGAGCCGGTCGCCGCGGGACAGTACGGCTGTCTCTCCGACCGAAAGGCACCTCCCGGAAAGTCGTCCCGAATTCGGACCCAACTGCGTCACGTGGACAGTGCCCCTGGCAAAGTCCGCCAGGAGCTTCACTGCAAAAGTTAGCGAGGAGACCTTTCCACTTTCCTCCCAGAATCCGTGGCCCCGAACAAACCCCGATTGAAGAAGCGCTCTACCTTGACGCTTGGAGCACCGCTTGTTCCGTATTCCTGTTTCCCGGCTCCGGCCAACAACACACTCTTGCCGGTCGTTAAGCGAGATGTCCGGAAGACCACAATCTTCGTTCGTTAACTTACAGCCCGTAACAGGCATCTGTGCGCTGTTTTGGTGTTGCAATTAACACTTACAAACCTCAAAAAGCGGACTCAACCACCCGCAGAACGCGCAGAACCATTCCACTGGCCGCCGCCATGTTTATATGAATAATCAACCTGGTCGTCCCGACCTCGCCGCATTTTCGCAGGTAGGTAAGAAGGAGTCTGCAGAGCTCTAGGAGTCTAGCGGTGGTGACCTTCAGCATGCATTTTTTTTTTTACTTTTTAAAATTTTGATTAGGCTAGGTATGGTGTACTAGAATAGGCTAGATAACGCTAAAGTCACTAAATGTTGACATTCAGTGACTCTAGGTAGCGCAAGCTACCGTCCTATACAAAAAGTTTTTGCAATGCGAAGTTTATATTGCCTACACTATTTACCCATCCAAAGCCAACGAAACCAACATCAGCGCCATCAGAGGCATCAGAGGCATCAGAGCAACCACAGTCAATCATAGTGAACAGAGTGCAGCGCTAGTGTTCCGAAACTATGTTCCAAACGGACTGAAGCAGTAGCAGTAGTGCAATAGTGCTATCGTGCTAGGTGGTGCTAGGCACAGTGGTGCTAGGAGCGCACGGAACGAAGCAGTCGGACCGTCGAACATTTGAGGAGTCGTCGGAGGCAGCCAGCGGCTCGATGAACCTCTTTCTGTTACTAATATCTCGCCGAGCTTCTAAAGCAACATAAAGACCCCCGTGAGTCAGTGTGCCTACTGCAATCATGCCAGAGACCTCCAAGTCCACGTGAGTTGTTTGTGTCCGTTGACTCTCCATCTTCTACATGTTGAGTGGGTGCTACGGCTCTGGTTATTCTTGAGGCAGCCGCTTTAACCCACAGTAGGGCTCTGAAACAAATGTCCGTCCTTGTTCGTAAGAGAAAAATATATATATATATATTTCCGAACAAGTCAAAGTGATGTCCCGGAGCGAGTAAAGCCCCCTCCCCAACACCCTCTGGCTGAGTTCATTACCCCCTCCCACCCCCGAATTTCCTCCACAAAATACACAAACCTATGATATTCACCCCTCCCCATGGATAGGGTGACCAGACGTCCCGTTTTGGCCGGGACAGTTCCGTTCTTGAGGTCCGCTTCTGCCATCCCGTCTTTTTGTCCCAATAAATGAATCGTGTCCCGTTTTCGCAGGAGTGCATAGTTTCGAAATTGGCACCAAGAGAGTCGAAGCAAACCGAAACTATGCGTAGTCGTTACAAGTATATTTTACAAAAATGACCGTAGGTACTTTAACATTAGTTAAGCTAGCATGTGCATCTCGACCGGAAATGTCTCTACGCACGACGCAAAACTTGGTAGGTCTCGTATAAAACGAATGGTTACAAAGAGCTTCAATTTGCAATAAAAAAAAAAAAGGTAGTGCAGCTTGACGAAAATAATCCCTGGAGAAGGGAACAAGAGGGACAAAGGACAAACACAAATCTCCAAACACAGCTAGGTGACTGGTGCGCGACCGAAAAAATCTGCCTGGTCTGGGTATCGAACCCGGGACCTCTCCATTTCCAGTAGAGCGCTCTACCAACTGAGCTAACCAGGGGTTAGACCTCAGTAGCGCAAAGAGGTTTTATCAGCTGCCATCAGTCTGACACCAACAAGGGTGAAAGCTTGCATTTTAAGGGATTATTTTCGTCATACTTGTCCAGCTCGCTTGCTCCTTTGCATTTAATTGCATTATAATCATAACCTTAAAATGCAAGCTTTCACCCTTGTTGGTGTCAGACTAGTGGCAGCAAATAAAACCAGTTTGCTCTACTGACGTCTAACCCCTGGTTAGCTCGGTCGGTAGAGCGCTCCACTGGAAATGGAGAGGTTCCGGGTTCGATACCCGGACCAGGCAAATTTTTTCGGTCGCGCACCAGTCACCTAGCTGTGTTTGGAGATTTGTGTTTGTCCTTTGTCCCTCTTGTTCCCCTTCTCCAGGGGTTATTTTCGTCATTCTTGTCCAGCTCGCTTGCACCTTTGCATTTAATTGCTTTGTAATCATAGCGTAGCTTAATGGAAAGGTGCCTGCTTCATACGTAGCAGACCCAGGTTTGATCCACAGTGTGTGCGAACTTTTTTTTTTACTTTTTTTTTGTTAAGCATTTGGCAATATTTAGTTCTTTTTTTACATTTAACGCTGGAAAAAAAAATTAATCTTGTCGATGACACTTTGCTGAATGTGGGACTCTTTCCGGCAGCTTGGGTTGCTGGTTGTACGGTGGGGCCAAGTGGGTTAATAGTTTTGTAAAGAGCAGCCGCATACTGTCGCCGAGAAGCAATGTGAATGCAGGCGGGGGATATTTACCCAGAGATTAAAATTTACTGCAATATGATGATGTTTTGAAATAACAGCAGTTATTTCATTAAAGTTTTTCTTCCAATCTCAATCTCTAATACAACCCCCCCCCCCCCCCCCCCCCGTTGGGATGTCCCGTTTTCTACCTTGAGGAATATTGTCCGCTGCCCATGGAGCCCCTCCCAGAAATTTGTAACCCCCTCCCCTCACACACACTTTGATAATCCTGTATGAACCCCTGTGAGGAGTTCTCTTATAGCACAAGCCCTTGTTCTGTATGTGTATCACACAAGAGTTACTGCAGTGAAATATACCAATTATCTCAAATTTGTCCTTTAAACACTTTTCAGCTCCAAACAAATCACGTATCGAAGAAATATTGTTTGACATGCCAAAACACTCTAACGACATTCCTTTTTAAAAAATTTTGAATCTCAGATAACTTGTGCATAACTGGTCAACTTGCTTAAGAGTATGTTGGACACTCGGTCGTTTTCAATCAGATGTTCACACTTCGCGACGTTTGTACAACTTCCATGTGACAAACATGTTATGCCACCTCAAAATTTTCACTGGATAGATTGAAAAGTTTCAAGGCAAATCACTATACGCGAACAGCAGGATGTTGTCTGCGCCATTAAAACTTCACTCCGAGTCTAGGACTTGGGTAAATATGGTATAAAATTGATCATCACTTTTGCCTATCTGTGCCAAATCATGAAAAGAATGCTAGGATTGTTACAAAAACAATTACTGCCATGAAGTACCTAAATTGGCCGGAATTATATTTACATGCTTTGCTTGTGCTAGTTGCTACTAACCGGTTAGGTTAGGAAATGTTTGGTGTGTGCCTGTGCGAAAATTGACCAGCTATGTCCGACATACCTCCAAGGAAATTGACAAGATATGTCTAACATACCTTTAGGCACAGCATTACATTAAATTATGTATCACGTTTTTGTAATGTTTTAATTGACAACTTGTGGTTCATTAGAGGAAAAGAGCTTGCATACCTACATTCTTTTTTTTTTTTTTTTTTACTGCCATGCCAATAGAGTTTGATTTGGTGGACAATCTTTGATATTCAACTGTTGCGAAAATTTGGTGGGGGAAGTGGAGCTAAAAACTGCATTTTAATTTTACTGGATCATCTCCGTTCTTGATTAATAAATTAAAATTGGCATGCAATCTCATTGAGAATGTTGGTATTTAGATTTGCCAATTCTTATTTTGATGAACACAAGGTATCGACGAATTCGTTCACATGTTAAATTAAGGGGATCATGGCCTAGACAATCCTTTTTCAAGGGCATTTTGTTTTATATCTAGCAAAGAAATATTTTGAGTATTGCATTAGTTTTCTAACTGTAAATTGACTAAACAATATTGGTGTGCCCCTGATAGGAACTACTGGAATTTCCTTCACAATTAACGTACAGAGCTGAAACTGCATTGAATCTTAGCATGGCTACTGATCTAGACTGTAAATTTCAGTCATTTTCAGTAATAGGTTCAAAAGTTTACTATCTTGAGTAGTGTCCTCCGTTAACCATACTCCGCGACAACTTTTCTTGGCAATGCAGGGGAAGGTACAGGCCCGCGTCCCCTCTCCCATTTTGAGTGTACGCAGGCTCTCCTCCTCTCCCCGGAAATGGGGGAGGAGGAGAGCCCGCGCACACTCAAAATGGGAGAGGGGACGCGGGCCTGTACCTTCCCCTGCATTGCCAAGAAAAGTTGTCGCGGAGTATAGTCCTTGTCTCACCAGAGCTCCACACTCATTAGCTTCTATTTTAGATTAGCCCCTACCCGATCCTATGTACAAACAGATAATGATGAACTGAGCTGAAATTGCATAGAATATTTTATCAGGGCTACTGATCTATACTGTAAATTTCTTTTATCTTAAGTTAGGGGTTTAAAAGTTAACCATTTTGGGTAGTGTCCTCCCTTAAGTTATTCTTGTCTCGCCAAAGGGCTACTCCCATGAGCCCACTATCTTAGATTAGCCTCTATCTTATGCGCAAACAGTCAAACTGTTTCCAAGCTTGCTTGCGATAGTGCACAAATCTTTAAGCTACTTCAAGTGAGCACAAACTTCCTGCTTTCTTGCATCCAAGATGTACTCTCCTTCATTAGAATGAGCTTTAAAAAAAAGTCTGGCTATGTGGATTTAATTAAGTCATTAGTAATGCCCCTTTGACCTCTCCATTATGAAAAGTTAAATGAAGGGTACCCAAACGTGTCTAGAATTTACATTGAGAAAGAAGTAGGACTTCAAGTACCTGTTATACTCCCGGTCAGCTTTCTGTGGCAATGCAGTCAATACTAGGGGAGAGGGTGCACCAACCGCTGTACACGCGCTTTCCTCCTCTCTTCGGATTGCCACAGAAAGTTGACCACGAGTACAGTTGCTTCCCATAATAGGAGTCCCCTCTACAGCTTATGCAATTTTCAAGTGCACCAAATTTTCAAAAAAAAAGGGAATGTGAGATAGAGTAATTTGAGCCCTGGGGAAGTGTTAGGTGGCCATGGCGGCCTCTAGAAAAAAGATGAAATTAGGTAATTAGTTAGCTAATTAACTCAAATGTTTTAACTAACTTTTTTAATTTCTCACTTCAGGGAGCATAATGTAATTAGAGAATTGAAGCTCAACCTCAATATAATCTAGCCCTGCCATCGAAGTTGGATTAAAAAATTTGTAGCACGTGCTACGGGGTCAAGGAATCTCACTTTTGTACACAGCGTCAAACCGAAACTAAGCGAGAAAGAGCGCCGGTAAAGTTATTGCTCCGCCCTTCCGGCCCCCGTGGGTCGTCGTTATCGCAGCCAGCTTCGCCTAAGCAAGTGGAGCCGGCCGCGATAATGACGAATTGCATGCCCGGAAGGGCGGAGCGATAACTTTACCGGCGCTCTTTCCTGTTTAGTTTCCGTTTGATGCCATTTACCAAAGTGACATTTCTCGACCCGGTAGCGCCTACTAGGAATTCTTTTATCCAAATTTGACGACGCGGCTAGACCATATTGTGGTCGATCTTCAATCTTCTAAATACATTATGTGCCCTCAAGTGAAAAATTAAAAAGTTAGTTAAAACATTACTCTATCACGTTTTTCTCGGTTGCATGGCATCTTATTATTTGCAGAACTTACGCAAATAACCCCCCCCCCCCCCCCCCCGAAAAAAAAGAAAAGAAAAAGTGTAGGGTCATGATGTACTAACGTCTTCGTGTCATGCTCTCCTTAAAACTCTGCAGCACAATGACGGCATCCGAAGAAAGTGACAGACAACTCGAAGAGTACGTGGCCTTCCTCATTGATCGATGTCCCGGCCTGGACATGGCAGATGAGCTCTACACAGACCTACGTTACACATCAAGCATGCTGAGCTTCAACTACATCAATTTCAAGACCCCCTGCACCGGCACTGATGCCCTGCGCTGTGGAATCTTTGAAGAGCTCACCGTCTGGAATGAATTTCTTTCGATTCTGTGCGTTGAGCTCAAGGAGGTGGTGCCCGGGAAGTTGGGCCTGGTCAGTCTAGCACCTTACTACAAACCACCCATTGTAGACTTGGAGAGACACCGTGCCTGTGTGCTAATACATTGGCTGCTTAGCAGACATCACTGCATCTGTAGCGTGGAACTTTGGTCCACAGTCATTCCGAGGGACCCAGAGCTCTTTTGTGATGCCCTAAGGCTCTGTTCAGGACTGAAAAGTTTGAAATTTTATGTGTATCATTTTTTTGGTAGGATGTCGGAGGACCTAATGAATGTGATTGCAACTTTGGACGGATTAGAAGAGCTTGCATTTTTAGCTGTGACATTGAGCACGGAGGCGCTTACTCGTTTGTCGACCTTCCTGAAGGAGACGAGAACACTCAAGTTTTTTGCCATTGACAACCCCACAATGGACTGTAGTGGTCTAGAATTGCTGGATGGTTTAAGGAGTAACACCAGCATTACAGCGCTCTGTGTTGATGACCATTGTCTAAGGCTTGGAGACGGTCTCGTCTTTGGGGAGTACCTTACTCAAAACCTTACGTTGAGGTCCCTCACCATCCGTCAAGTCTCAAAGAAGGGAACTTGCAAGATGGAGCCTGTCTTTGCAGCCCTGGAGACCAATAAGACCCTCGAAAAGTTGCGCCTGGAGAGCTTTGTCCTGGATTTTGCCCAGGGGAAACATCTTGCTGAAGCACTGATCAAGAATAACACGCTTCGTTACCTGGAACTTGCTGAGGCGTACTGGAGCTTTGAGGTGGCACCTTTTGCGGAGCTTATAGAAAGAAACACGGGACTCGTAGAACTGGTGGTCACGGGTGCCAAAGTCCGAAATATTGCGCCGTTTGCAGCTGCCATCAGTGTAAATCGGACACTGCAGAAACTAGTCCTGAATTTGTCATGCAAGACAGTTGATGACTCAAAGGCACTTCTGTCGGCACTCGCGAGGAACTGCTCACTTAGTGAGCTTGTCTTGGGAGACATCAAGGATGACATTGTGAAGGACTTTTATGCTCTCCTTAGGGAGACCGGTACCGAAGACAGAATAAGGTTCCGTGCTAAGATTCGTGATCCCCCATTGCTTGTAATTGCCTTGAAGGACTGTTCAAGACTTTCTCGAATCTGTTACAGACCTAATGAAGTTGTTCAACCGTGCGTCCTTCAGCAAGCATTTGGGCAGCTGGCAGCGTGCCGTCATGTCGTTGAGCTCACTATATTTTTGGAGCAAGAGATTGACGATGCCTCTGCCTTGTTGCTAGCACGATTCCTAGCATCGACGAAGACCCTTAAGGAGGTATTTCTGCGTTTTGGAACAGAGGCGTCATCCACACGTATCCTTCTGGAAGGGCTCTCCTGCAACAAAAGCATCTCGAAACTATCTCTGATGTACTGGTCTTTCGACAGGCTAGAGTCTGAGCTGGCCCTGGCATTGCAAAACATTACGACCCTTAACTATCTCTCGCTCTACTCCATGGACACACTGTTTGTGTATTCGATAGTGAGGGATTTAGCTCGCTGCCTCAAGAAGCACTACTCGTTGATCGTTGTCGACATCAATGTCAACGGGAAGTCAAAGGAGCACGAGTTCGGGATCAGGGAACCCTTGCGGCGGAACCTTTCCTTGCTCCAACAGGCGGCGCAGTTTGCCACTGGAACCCGCAACAAACGTTCAGCCGACATGTTCGAGCGGTTGTTTCGGAGCGAGGCGCTGGTGTGGAAAGTGCAGCAGCTTAGCCGTAACACAGAAGCTGAAGCCAGGAAGATGATCAAGAACAGTATCAGGTACCTCGACGTCAACTTTATGGCCGCAACCGGTGTGGTAAAGGAGGCAGTGGTGTGCTTCGGAACGGGCGATGGCAAGATGCAGTTGGACCAGATTGGTTTAGACAACTGGCTGCGCATCCGATCGTACCTCCGAGTAAGTGACATCCGCGACGAAGGTCTGTCTGTGTGCTCCAAGAGCCCTTGACCAGCGTCACTGGCGGTCATGGGCATGGCGGGACCTGTTCTTAGTGTAATGACCTACGGGGCTGGTCGCCGTCCTAGGCCTGAAAAAACGGTGTTTGTTGGTGTTTGCATCTTTGCAGACCTTGTGTGAATCTATTGCCCGATGTATTAGTTACTTCGAAGAGCTGACATTTTTTTGTGATTGCTGTTAGTGGGTAGTGACTATTTCAACGTCCACTTTCAAAATAATCCTAAATATTATTTTGATGTCCGTGACGCTACTTCCTAAAGACGTGAAAATATCCTCAAATTCATTTTGACATCCCCCGTCAAAATATTTTTCTCTTTATTTTGACATCTCGGACTCGAGTTCGGACTAGATAGTGATAGAAAGTGGAGGTCAAACAAATAATTTTCTTGCATGCGGCGGCGCGGTTAAACACGCATTTTCAGAAAGCAAATGTGCAAAGGACCGCAGTTTTTATAGCCTTTTAGGAAATGTGGAATGCAAAAAAAAAAAAAAAAAAAAGTTACATCAGATAGCAGGCCGCACGTATCGTTGGCTGATTTTGCCCAACATTACAGAATGCGACACCGTTGCTTTTTATGATTTATTTCACGTGTTTTATATAGACAAAAGAGCGGAATGTCGTATCATGAAATTTACACTTGATTGGAAAATGCGTGTATCTTGTATAACCGTGTCGCAACGGTCAAGAAACATCAAGGAGGCAATTTGTGCATTCACGACCTTTTGTTTAACATTCCGATCGTTTCGTAGCTAACCCGCTAGCTTCTTGGTTCGTTATACACGAACCAAGAAGAAAATCTAGACTAAACAAGGAACACGGTTAAGAACTAGGCGGGAGTCCTATGGCAAAACGAGAACCGCAACCGTACAGACGCGTTCGCAGACTATGGAGGCACAAAAAGCGTGCCAAATTTCTCAGTGGTACGTATAGTGTACGCACTTACATTTGTTACGTACAGGCAATATACAGGGATATCCAGCTCGCCATTGTTGTCATTTCAAGTGAAACGCGTGCCAAAATGACGTGCGAGCTCAGAACATTGCCACCGAGCGTGTCACGTCCGAACGGTTGAACTGTCGAGCCATGTTGTCCCACACACTCTGAAGATATTTCCACCGTTTCCACCGCTAACTGGGACCGGATTAGGCACGCAACACATGACTCCGTCAACGCATCAACACAACACCGACATCACCATCGGAGACTAAACAGAACGAAACCAGAAACGGCTGCTCCCACTGCGACGGCTGCATTGACGGGAGACGTCGAAATAATAAAGCCACTGTTTTGACGTTTTCATGGAAGCGATGTCACGGACGTCGAAATGATTTTGAAATATTTTGACGGTGGACGTCGAGATAGTCACTGCTGTTAAGGCGCTCGCTGATGGCGATGACGTTCTCCGTGCAGAATGTGAATTTTATTTTAAATTCGTAAGAATGCATTTACAAAGAAAAGGAAGCAGGCACAAATAGGTTACCGTATGAGCTAACGCGTATAATACGCTAAATTTAATGAGCAAACATTATTTCCTAATTATTTCTACAAACTGTTTGCGAAGCCAGTTTTGATGTGAAGATATTTTTCTTTTGTATGAGGGTGTTTTCATATCAATTCAGGCACGGTTTTGGGGCCTAATTTCTAATTTGACAAAACAAAATGTATGTTATAGGAGCATTCTTGTGAAATGAAAGAAAGCACAAACGGCAAGCTTGGTGGGTTTTTTTGTTTTCAAGTTGTTTGACCATTGAAGGCTTCGAGGCGAAAACCGACGTTTCTCTCACCCGTTTCTCAAGATATTGCACTAGGATCCTTCTGTGACTCTTTCGAAATACGTTTTGTTATACTTGAATTTAAGAAGAAAAAAAATCTTATTTTGTAATCATTTTTTTTTATCAAACTGCGTTCCTTTGGTGATTTTTTGTCAAAGTTTGGAAAGTTGTTACGTGTGACATATTTAAGATATTTTAATGATCTTAACATCACCAGAAAGCTCAAATTTAGCCCTTTTTATTAAATACAATTACAATTTTGTGTGTACAAACTAAGGTCTGTTACATATGTTTGAATGAACGAATCTTTCAAAAATTAGCAAAATCGGGATCGAGTTTCTCAAGCACCTCACTTTTTGTTTGCTTCATTCTTTGTTAGCAGCAAGGTATATGACAGTCGTTTATCAGAAAATAAAAGCTTATGTATTTTGTTTATGTGACCGCAATTTGCAGAGTAAAGTAACTTACTCCACACTACGCACAATTTCACTTGTTTGCGTGTAAAGTAACGTATTAATATTACATAATTCATTATATTTATGCCAAAATGTTGGCCAGAATAGCCAGTATGCGAGGACGCAGTTACAGCGAACAACTGGCAAGATTCAAGCTGTGGTCACACAGACAAAATACTATACTTCGTTTATATTTTCTGATAAACCACAATCATACATTGATATTTAAAAAAAATGAAGCAAATAAGAATGGTTTTTGAGAAAATTGATTTCGATTTTGAAATTTCGAACCCTATGTCATTCAAATCTATGTTACAATTTTTATTTTATATATATAACGTTGAATTTGAATTCAATAAAACGAGCTACATTTTACCTTCCTTGTGGTGTCAAGGTCCTCATCACATATTCAAAAGGTCACACGTAAGAACTTGCCAAACGTTTGTCAGAAATCATCAGAGGAACATAGTTCGACATTTTTTTACAAATTTATTAGAAAATGTACGATTTTTTTTTAATTCATTAAGTCTAATGAAACTTATTTCGAGAGTGTCACAAAAAGAGTCCGAGTGCAGTAGTTTGAGAAATGACGAAATAGCAAGCGGTCAAACATGCGTTCACCGACAACCGGGAGAAACGTCAGTTTTCTCTAGCCCTTAGGCCGCTTGAATCTTCCATAAGTTGAAAGCAAACAATCCGCCAAACTTGTTGTTTGCACTCTCCTTTATTTTAACAATGCTCCCAAAACGTACATTATTTATTTACTGATTTATTTTTTTATTACATATTCGACCCCAAAAATGTGCCTGAATTGAAATGAAAGCACCCAGAAAGTTTTGATCGTTTAAGCGTGGAAATGATGTACGTGGGCAAAAAAATAAGAAAAAAAAGGCCTATTTCTGTGTCCTGTTGTGGAGAGGCGAAACAAGTGGCTCCCTCTTCGGGACGTGACGAGTGGCGGCCTTCTACACCCCAGTTCTGACCGAAGGAAACCGCCGCCTCGTGAGCTTCGTTCGTCGTCGTAGAGTCCTCTCGAGGAAAGATGCCTAGCATCCGGTCTCGCACTGCGTTGCGAAAACTCGAGGAGATGTTTGAAGCAAACGCTTCTGTTGCCCGATCGGACGTGCACCAACAGCGCCAATAAACAAAAAAAAAAAAAAAAAACAAGAAAAAAAAAGAAAAAAAGGGCGGCGATTGACTGCACTGACGGTAAAACGAGACTCCGGTGCCAAGTCCGCGGGTCGGCTACGGATGATAAGTGCTAATGAGAAGAGTGCTAGAGTGGTGACTTATTTGTGCGAGTCGTTTTTTATTTTCACGCTTGAGCTATATTCACTTAACCAACTTTTTGGTGGATGAAATGATGGCGCAGTGTAACAGTGTCACTGTTTGCTCGTTGATCACGTCGTATCGTCAATTCTACAACCAACCTGTTTCTACTGTTGTAATTCTTTGAAATTAACATTTCATTTTTTTCTCCCTTTTGAATAAAAAAAAAAACGTTCCAGACGTTATCTGTGTGGTTTTGCCTCATCATTCGCTGGATTCCGTGTGGATAAGTCGTGAAACGGCAGACGGCCGGAACAATTCGCCCATCCCATCTACCGCTCCGAACGGGACTCGTAGATCTTATGGATTGACGCTAATTGAAAACAAGTACGAGAAAATACAATTGGTACAAACGTTTATTTCGTAGCTTCCCTCGTAACCCCAGCCAAAAATCGCTCGTCAACCGCGCTGGCCTCGTCCGAACTTGGAGAAGGGCGAACCACGCCCGCCCTGTGTCGCTTGCGTCGAGCTTCGCCGCTTCGCACCGGGGTGTTGGGAGAAGCGCCTGACGCGGCGGAACATCTCGGTTAGCTCGAGGATTTCGAAAACTTTTCTCACTATCGCAGCTCGACCCTTGGTTACGATTATAGTTTGACCTCTTAATTTTGAAAGAATGGTACCTTTATTCGAACATTTGAGTGAATACGGTCAGTAGTGATTTGGCGCTGCGCTTAGCCGCAGAGAAAGACACGTCGACCGACGAAACGACCGACGCGTCGGAAAGTCCGAGATGGCCGGTGGGCGCGCGCCGGGAAGCTCGGAGTCTGTGATCCCGCATATTTCGGCGCGATTGGATTCGTACGACGTATCGGCCGTTTCGTCGCGCACGGGTCTGACTCTTTACCGTTGTGTGTTTTGAAAGGCGGACTTGGAATGGACACTATACAAACTAAACGCCTTTATTTACACGAGGAAACACGCAACCGAGAGCCAAAGCCAGACAGAGAGAGAGAGGCACGAAGCTAGGAACCAAAACCGGAAGTTTGTATAGGCAGAGTTGTGCTCGTGGCAACAGGGGAATCCAACACAAAACGGCCAGCACCTGCAAAACAGAAAAAAAAAAGGATAAAATTTGCATTACTCCTGAAACGAATTAATCACGACTAAGTAAAATATCATTCCGTTTGTTAATGTAATTTTTAACTGCTCTACTTCGTATTTCAAGGGAAGAACGGGGACGCTTGCCTATCAAGACTTACCGAAGTTTGCGCGTCGGAATTAGCTATCCGACACGCAAACACGAGGCGCAGCGCACGAGTATCTAGCTGCAATTAACGTCCCTAGATAACGCTATGCGGGGCAGCGACAAGTCCTCGCTCCTGTCGTTTGCTAGAGCGCAGTCCGCCATGTTCCGATCCTAACTTGTCCACAGTCTTGGGCAGTAACTAGTTACTAGAAACACGTTATCGGCAACTAGTTACTTTTTCCGGTAACTTTAACCTGTAGCCCGTTACTCTTTAATACCGGTAACTTGTGACTGTAGCACTGTTACTTTTTTTATTGAGTAACTAACTGTTTAGGCCGTTACAGTTACTTTTTTTTTTTTTTACTATATAAATCAACCCACTGTCGCGGACATGGAGAAATCGCCATCTTGCAGTATTTGTCTCCAAACTCCTCGCTGACAAAAAAAAAAAAAAAAAAAAAAAAACAATAAGAAGCGCGGCCACGCATTATCCAAACAAAAGGTTGCCTGGTTTAGCCCACGACCGAGAATGGACGACGGACGAGTCAGCACGAAACCGGGAGGTAAAGGAAGCGGCTCCCGCGGTGGTAGGGGCGGCAAACAGTGTCTGTTTCACCGACTTTGGCTGACTCTTCTCTCGTGGGGACCATCTGCGGGTGTCGGTAGTCGTGCGATGTCTCCGAGTATTCCGTCTGGGCTGCGTCTGGGACGGGATATGACCGTTTTTGCACAGCCGTTCGCCGTTTCCTTATCCCTTTTTAGTTTTTAAGGAAGCCATCCCCACATTGTGCAGAAAGCCGGCGCTTGTTTAACTTATTCATTCTCTTCGGAGCCGCTTGAGTAAACACGACTTCCACAGTTGGCATTTTGGGCACAGAGGTGGTCGTCGTACACTCGTAGAGCATCAGAAGCTAATTGTCTCCTTTTCCCCTTTATTCTTTCGAAGCTGTTTGACCTGCTATGTTTAGGCCTGCTTCCGAGCATATCCCATAATGTAATTATGTGACCATCTGTGTCCTCATTCGTTTCGGAGTGAAAAATAAACCAAAACGTTCACTGACGCGGGTCGATGACAATTTTGAAAAATGGCCGAGTGAGTGGGTGAGTGAGTTAGCGCATACCAGCTTGGGGATCCTGGGTTCGAACCCCACCCCTACCCGTTTCAATCTGGATGAGTATCGTACCGGCGTGCGGTCGTGTACCATAACTGCGTGGTGCACGTTAAAGACCTCAGGCTAGCGGTTGTACTGCACTGGATAAATTGCTCATCTACAGCTGCGAGACAAGTCGCCCGTTGAGGCAGACTAAGTTCAGGCTGTATAAACATACATACAACACATTTAGCAGGGGCTTGTTGTTTTGTGTGTGTACACTTTTTTTTTTTTTTTTTGTTAATTGACTTTGAGGTTATCTTGAAACAATGTCTCAGATGTGAATAGAAACGAAGAATAATTTTTAAAAGCGGCAACTGGTCTTGCAGGTTTTCTTCTTTGAAACAACAATGGCCGCGATGATGCAATGTTATCTACAGCCTATTGTAAATATTTGTCTTCATAAATTCTTCCTGTACGACTGTTGTGTTCTGTAAAACCATATTTTAATTGATAATTCCCTATACAACAGTGTGGCGTAGATATTTAAAATTTAGAAAATTCAGTTCGATATGAAGCAAGACAATTGCAAGTTCTGCATTCTTTTTTGTTTGATCTCTTCATGATCATGAAACTGTACCTACATGCTCACCAACGTTTCTTTTTTTTTTTTTTTCATTGTGTTAGAGATAAAGCTTAATCGTTTTTTTTTCTTTTTAACAAACGGTAATGAATTATCTCGGTGATGCTTGCTCGCAGTGGAATGCTGTGGAACCGCGACATTACGATGAGCTCGAGTGATCGCCCACAACCGTGTGTATATCCTGCGGTTCAACTGGGTGAATTCCTCCCGATAAAATGGACTCGTATGGAAGTTCGGAAACTGGTGCCAGTGGGACTTACCTCTTCCATTGCTCAAAATAAATAAAGTTGTCCCGCCGCCCCGCCATGCGCGTTCGGGCTATCCGAGGTACCCGTGGCCGTAACCACCACCGTATCCATGTCCATAGCCAAGTCCATGACCCAGCCCGTAGCCGTGGGCGAAGGGCACGCCGCCGTAGCCGTGGTAAGGAGCAGCGGCATAGGCGGCCACCGGCACCGCCGGTCTCGCGACCACAGCAGCGGCTACAGGCGCCCCGTGGCCGTATCCGCCGTACCCGCCGTAACCGCCCGCGTAGCCCAGACCCCCGTGATGTCCACCGTAGGCCGGGACTAGGGGCTTCACCAGCGCGGCCACTGGCACCGCATGATGCACCGAGGCGGCAGGCACTGCCTTGCCGTTGGCGGACACGTAAGGCGCCGACGCAGGCGCGCTGGTCTTGGTCCCTGGCTCGTTGGTCTTGACGACGGCCCGGAAACCCAGCTTGTCGGCCACGTACTCGACGTGTCGATGACGCCCGTCGATGTCGCCCAGGTAGTAGGAGCCGTGCACGGGTCCGTAGGCGGCGCCGGTCTCGTGGCGCCCATTGACGGCGCCGTACCCGTTTACGATGTCGTAGCCAAACTGGTAATTGCCGTAGTCCTGTCGCGTAAAGGTCGGGTCGCGAAGTTAGTGGTTTTCAGATGTACAGTGGCTAGCGGTACGAGCTATAGAATGTGCAAACGGCGACCGGGCAGTACAAAGCAGGCTGTCGCACGGCTATTGTGGCTAGACACTGTACAGAAAAGGACTCGTAGAGTCTGTTGAGCGAGTGTGGTGGTGCTTTTCGCTATTCCAAGCACGTGTTTTCTGGCCGTAAGTCGACAGCTTCGTGCTCTAGCAATACCACCTCGAAGAATGAAAGCCCGCGCCTCCCCTACCTCCACGTAATGGGATCACACTTGGATGGCGTGAACTGAGCGATTGGGTCCGTGCCGGACGCCGAATGAATTTTGACAGATTGACATGGACAGGAAGCCGAACGTTGACGCCACGTTCGTGTCCAACCTGCACCTATACACTCGATCTCACTCCGATGACGTTGAAATGCGCGGGCTCTGATTTTCCGAGCTGGTGTCGGCTTTAGTCACCGAGTGCCCGATACTTTGGTGAATAGCACTAAATTATCGCGAGGCCCGCACTGGACAGCATCACGTTTCGACCATTTGGTGTCGTCTGCTTTGCTCTGGTAGCAGATACTCCATTTTACTGTGAAGTAGAGGTCAAGTCAAGATCACAGGTGCTCGTGCATAGCCCTGACAGGCACTCCGCTCGGAAAGTCTACACCTTCCGAAGCAAAGTACCTTCACAGCCTCAGCTCTCGTTCTACCACTCGAAGTGAAACGGAGTACAAGGTAAGTTTTCAAATCAATACGCTCGTGGGATTCATTGACACAACAGACAGTGGTAGTGGTAACTGCAATGGCCAGCCGTTGAAGTTATTCGACCGGTTGGACACAGCGCGAATGAATCGCGACAGAGAAAGACAACTTGTAAAAGATTTTGTGGTTGGGCAAGTTGGTACATCTTAGATTCGAAAAGCGCCAAAGCAACAAGGACAACAGGAAGAATAGGACGAAACGATGAAAAGGCGGAAAGACACTGGTTCTGCCATCTTTGCTGAGAAATCCCATGGGCCGGCTTGCCTCGGAATAAAATCAGTCGGTCTTATCTAAGACAGTTTTCAGAAAGAGCCCTGTCAAGACTGAGACGAGTGTACCCGTCAGCAAGCTGCTACCCTTGACGACGCTTTTTCCTGTCTTGGAAAGGACAAATTTATTACGAATAAGCCGTCCCACGTGGGGAATTAAGACCTTTCAGACCACCGAGTCTCGCGTACGATGTCTCACTCACGTCTTGTTTGCGGTGCTGAACGCTATGGCCACCGCTGTGTGGACCCACCAGGCCACCGCTTGTAACAGCCGCCAGACAGAGCACGGTGAAGGGGCACTGCAATGGGGTACGTGCAATCGAGCACTCTTGTGGTGA